TGACGAAAAAAAGTGTTGAAAACTAATTATTTTAGTGAATTTTCTAAGTCAAAGGACCATAACTCTGCACAATATTATCAGACTGGAACAAAATTTTAACTTGATCTGTAACTTGTCATGATAAAACTATATACCAATTTTCAAAACAATATCTTCAAGCATGACAAAAAAAAGTACGGAAACTGATTATTTGAGTGAATTTTCTAAGTCCAAGGACCATAACTCTGCACAACATCATCAGACTGGAACAAAATTCAAACTTGAACTGTAACTTGGCATGATGAAACTATATACCAATTATCAAATCAATATCTTCAAGAATGACAAAAAAAAGTGTTGAAAACTAATTATTGTAGTGAATTTTCTAAGTCAAAGGACCATAACTCTGCACAACATCATCAGACCGGAACAAAATGCAATATTGAACTGTAACTTGTCATGATAAAACTATATACCAATTATCAAATCAATATCTTCAAGAATGACCAAAAAAAAGTGTTGAAAACTGATTATTTTAGTGAATTTTCTAGGTCAAAGGACCATAACTCTGCACAAAATCATCAGACCAGAACAAAATTCGAACTTGATCTGTAACTTGTCATGATAAAACAATACACCAATTTTCAAATCAATATCTTCAAGCATGACGAAAAAAAAGTAAGGAAAACTGATTATTTGAGTGAATTTTCTAAGTCCAAGGACCATAACTCTGCACAACATCATCAGACTGGAACAAAATTCAAACTTGAACTGTAACTTGGCATGATAAAACTATATACCAATTATCAAATTAATGTCTTCAAGAATGACAAAAAAAAGTGTTGAAAACTGATTATTTTAGTGAATTTTCTAAGTCAAAGGACCATAACTCTGCACAAAATCATCAGACCAAAACAAAATTCGAACTTGATCTGTAACTTGTCATGATAAAACAATACACCAAATATAAAATCAATATCTTAAAGCATGACGAAAAAAAGTGTTGAAAACTAATTATTTTAGTGAATTTTCTAAGTCAAAGGACCATAACTCTGCACAATATTATCAGACTGGAACAAAATTTTAACTTGATCTGTAACTTGTCATGATAAAACTATATACCAATTTTCAAAACAATATCTTCAAGCATGACAAAAAAAAGTACGGAACTGATTATTTGAGTGAATTTTCTAAGTCCAAGGACCATAACTCTGCACAACATCATCAGACTGGAACAAAATTCAAACTTGAACTGTAACTTGGCATGATGAAACTATATACCAATTATCAAATCAATATCTTCAAGAATGACAAAAAAAAGTGTTGAAAACTAATTATTTTAGTGAATTTTCTAAGTCAAAGGACCATAACTCTGCACAAAATCATCAGACCGAAACAAAATTCGGACTTGATCTGTAACTTGTCATGATGAAACAATAAACCAAATATCAAATCAATATCTTCAAGCATGACGAAAAAAAGTGTGGAAAACTGATTATTTGAGTGAATTTTCTATGTCCAAGGACCATAACTCTGCACAACATCATCAGACCGGAACAAAATGCAATCTTGAACTGTAACTTGTCATGATAAAACTATATACCAATTATCAAATCAATATCTTCAAGAATGACCAAAAAAAAGTGTTGAAAACTGATTATTTTAGTGAATTTTCTAGGTCAAAGGACCATAACTCTGCACAAAATCATCAGACCAGAACAAAATTCGAACTTGATCTGTAACTTGTCATGATAAAACAATACACCAATTTTCAAATCAATATCTTCAAGCATGACGAAAATAAAGTAAGGAAAACTGATTATTTGAGTGAATTTTCTAAGTCCAAGGACCATAACTCTGCACAACATCATCAGACTGGAACAAAATTCAAACTTGAACTGTAACTTGGCATGATAAAACTATATACCAATTATCAAATTAATGTCTTCAAGAATGACAAAAAAAAGTGTTGAAAACTGATTATTTTAGTGAATTTTCTAAGTCAAAGGACCATAACTCTGCACAATATTATCAGACTGGAACAAAATTTTAACTTGATCTGTAACTTGTCATGATAAAACTATATACCAATTTTCAAAACAATATCTTCAAGCATGACGAAAAAAAGTGTTGAAAACTAATTATTTTAGTGAATTTTCTAAGTCAAAGGACCATAACTCTGCACAATATTATCAGACTGGAACAAAATTTTAACTTGATCTGTAACTTGTCATGATAAAACTATATACCAATTTTCAAAACAATATCTTCAAGCATGACAAAAAAAAGTACGGAAACTGATTATTTGAGTGAATTTTCTAAGTCCAAGGACCATAACTCTGCACAACATCATCAGACTGGAACAAAATTCAAACTTGAACTGTAACTTGGCATGATGAAACTATATACCAATTATCAAATCAATATCTTCAAGAATGACAAAAAAAAGTGTTGAAAACTAATTATTGTAGTGAATTTTCTAAGTCAAAGGACCATAACTCTGCACAACATCATCAGACCGGAACAAAATGCAATATTGAACTGTAACTTGTCATGATAAAACTATATACCAATTATCAAATCAATATCTTCAAGAATGACCAAAAAAAAGTGTTGAAAACTGATTATTTTAGTGAATTTTCTAAGTCAAAGGACCATAACTCTGCACAAAATCATCAGACCAGAACAAAATTCGAACTTGATCTGTAACTTGTCATGATAAAACAATACACCAATTTTCAAATCAATATCTTCAAGCATGACGAAAAAAAAGTAAGGAAAACTGATTATTTGAGTGAATTTTCTAAGTCCAAGGACCATAACTCTGCACAACATCATCAGACTGGAACAAAATTCAAACTTGAACTGTAACTTGGCATGATAAAACTATATACCAATTATCAAATTAATGTCTTCAAGAATGACAAAAAAAAGTGTTGAAAACTGATTATTTTAGTGAATTTTCTAAGTCAAAGGACCATAACTCTGCACAAAATCATCAGACCAAAACAAAATTCGAACTTGATCTGTAACTTGTCATGATAAAACAATACACCAAATATAAAATCAATATCTTAAAGCATGACGAAAAAAAGTGTTGAAAACTAATTATTTTAGTGAATTTTCTAAGTCAAAGGACCATAACTCTGCACAATATTATCAGACTGGAACAAAATTTTAACTTGATCTGTAACTTGTCATGATAAAACTATATACCAATTTTCAAAACAATATCTTCAAGCATGACAAAAAAAAGTACGGAACTGATTATTTGAGTGAATTTTCTAAGTCCAAGGACCATAACTCTGCACAACATCATCAGACTGGAACAAAATTCAAACTTGAACTGTAACTTGGCATGATGAAACTATATACCAATTATCAAATCAATATCTTCAAGAATGACAAAAAAAAGTGTTGAAAACTAATTATTTTAGTGAATTTTCTAAGTCAAAGGACCATAACTCTGCACAAAATCATCAGACCGAAACAAAATTCGGACTTGATCTGTAACTTGTCATGATGAAACAATACACCAAATATCAAATCAATATCTTTAAGCATGACGAAAAAAAGTGTGGAAAACTGATTTGCCGGACTGACGGATGGACGGACTGACAGACAGACAGACGGATGGAGTGCAAACCTAAAGTCCCCTTCGACTTCGTCGGTAGGATACTGAAATACAAATTTTTTAACAACTTATTATATATAAATCAAAATATATCAATCATGACAAAAAAAATGTTACATTTACTTATTCTGATCAGAGTACTGATTTATTAATTATATTGATGAATCCAAAGACAAGGAAAAATATAATAGAAATTGTTTTTTTTTCCTCAATCAAACCAAAAATTATTTGAATTAATACATATATAACATGAATAAAGGTATAAAACCACTAATTCATAGCCCCATTGCTTTCTATGTTAAATTCTGCAATTTCAAGCATCAATGGCTACTTTGTCTCAAGTTCAAATAAAGTGGCAGTCATTTCATGTTAAAACTATACCTTATCCTGATTTTTGCTGAAAAATTCAACATACCTTTAATTGCATATTAGAGCGTACTGGTTCCCGGAAGTTTGATAGTACAAAAAAAGGTACTTCTGATCTGAACAACAGGGCAAATGTGCCCTCCTATTATAATTTTATACACTTTTTTTATTAATCAAAAAAAACTTTCAACAAGGGTTTTACAGTGATCAAGCTTTCATTTGATACCAAAACTACCCAAATATTTCACCTATTGACAAAGACACAGCTATGTGTAGGAACTATTTTGTTTAAAATATGTACTACTTTCTTGTATGTTCTTTCCGACCGGGCCTGATTTAGTGGTTCTATACCTAAAGACTAATATAGAAATAACAGAAGAATGTGTCTGAGGACAAGCGAATGATCCCGCTCAAGCTACAGACAGACAGACAGACAGACAGACAGACAGACAGACAGACAGACAGACAGACAGACAGACAGACAGAAATGGGTAACACTTAGGCAGGGGCATAAAAATAGGGGAGGGAGTTGTCTTTAGGGTACAATAGCACAAATAGGAATGTTATGTGCTATATAGAGCAGACTAACTATGTTTTCTAAAATAATCCTAATCTAACAGTCCATATTTAAAACTTGGATGCAAAAAAAAACAATATATCATAACAGATTTGAATACACTTGTTCATACATTTACAGGAACAGTATAGTATTTGATACATGTACTCATGGAAAAATTTGGCATTTTACACACATACACTGAAGTAGATGCTACCCTAAAATAACTTAAATAAATACACTAAATAAACATCATTAACTCCCAAGACTCTAATGGAAATGACTGTTGTAGTTTGAGATTGCTTTTACACCAGAAGGGTAAAAAATACAGTAGCAAGGGCAGATAATAATGCAAATTCTAAGGAGAAAAAAATTTTGAAAATGCTTGGGTCAGAGCTTAATTTTTAATGGGAAACCCAAAACTTGCATACTTTTTTTCTGCCTAAAATATTTAAAAATGTTTACCTGCACTGATGACTGCTTGTAATCTACTGTTGTTTATGTCCTCTTCTCTAGAAGAAAAAAAAGATATACTTAAAAATGAACACAAGATTGCTAAACTGTACATGCTGTAGGGATATGCCCCCTGCTGCTGTGTATCATGTGTAATCATGGTAATGTGGAATACATTCAAAAGGTGTGAGTATACTGTGATAGGCAGAGGATAGTCAAGGGCCAATAACTCCAGCAAAAAATGTCATATCAAAATGATAGTAAAGTATGGTCAACTACACATGATGGCAAATGATTCAACCAAGTATGAAAGATTTTGGCTTAATGGTCTCATGGGAATTCTGTTTACAAGGTGGCATTATCTTACAATAGTCCAAAAAATTGTCAATTAGGCCGTTAGATTTCTCATTTGAATTGTTTTACATTTTTCATGCCAGGGCCTTTTAGAGCTGACAATACAGTATGGGTTTCTGTCATTGTTGGAGGCTGTACGGTGGCCTATTATTGCTAACTACCACTTCATTTTGACTCTGGTGGATAGTTGTCTCATTGGCAATCATACCAAATGGTCTCATATTTTTTTGTAAAGTCTCGTAACTCCCTCAAGAATTGTCAAATCAAACTGAAAGTATAGCATGTTCAACTTAACTATAATACTATAATACAGTCAATTTAGACACATGATGAAAAAACATTTCTACCAAGCATTTAAGATTTCTGTCAAACAGTCTCAGAGGAGTTACATTCACAGGGTGTCATTTTGTTGCAATAGTCCAAAATATGGTCAAAGTCCCATAAACACCTGTAAAAATTGCCAAAACAAAACAACAGTATAGTATGGACAAGAGAATACAATAGAAAATTATATGAGAATATGATAACATACAATCCTACCAATATGAAATCTTTCTGTCCAGTGGTCACTCAGTATTGTTGTGGTTGGAAGGAACAGGGGGACTAAGACTATTACTAATGATTGCAAGTCTTTTACAGTTTATTGCATTTTTGGTTGGTGTAAACACATTTTCTTAAGTTCAAGTTAAAGATTATAAACAATCTAGCATTAACATATTAATACAATTGAATAATTGATATGATCCAGAAACAACTGGTTAACTTATATTAATTTGTTTCCTAATACAAATAAGACCATTTCATATATGTAATACTCAAGAAGTTGAATGCAATGAAATCAAATAATGTTATGCTAAACGCAAACAAACAAAAATATTGCCAAAAAATTAATATTAATAATGGTGTGACGACAAGATTTTTTTTAATCGAACATATCAGAAATACAATAGTTAACATGGTTAAGTGGGTGTTTCAGAAAAGACACAAGTATTTTTAGATATATAAACATGCTCTGTAGACTGTTTGCAATCATATGACAAATGGTTTGCTATTGAGTATGAATGTTTGAATTGCCAAGAAGATATTTGGGTGATGTCTCTCTGAAGTTTACCTGGACTACGCCTACTTTTAATACTACTTAACTAAGGTCCTGCAATGCTGCTATAAATTTCTGAAGATAAATACTTTAAGCTTCATAAAATGACTCTTATAAGAAGACTTACACACCATTCAGCCAGATCTGATCTTTTGTAAAATTTGGACTTGCAGCTATAGTTGTTTTAGACCTCAACTGAAAATAAAAGTTCAACTATACATGTAGATTAGTCTATTTTAATATGCAATGCCTATCATGAAAATAATTTCTTTCATTAAATATTTCACAATTGTTCATGATTTTTTTTAATTAATTTCCTCCCAAAATCCTTATGCATATTTTCTTAAACAGATGTAAATTACCAGCAGCTTATCATGCTTATAGTGTTTTGCATATTTACATGCAAGATTTTTTTTTATTACAAGCATTGACATTCAATTGTTAATTTTTAAAATGTTACATTTCTATGGTCATGCATAGAATCAGGAAAAGACTTTCTATGAAATGGAAATAGCATATTAATAATTAGACTATGATTCTGGATTCATTTTCAGATACATGTACCATTTTTTGTGGATTTAGTAAAATTTACATTTTCATGGATATGATGAATATCAAGGTTTTGCCAAAGTCTGTATACAATCCTATAGAAATATTTAAACTTCTTTAAATTACCTTGCACATGCTTTCCCTAATAAAAGCTTACAGTGCATTACATTTTCTTTAAACAATGGTCATTAAACAAAATCTTAGAAAACTAAACAAACTTCAGATTTGGCTTTACCATGTTTACAGGTTTCTTTAAACTATACCTGTAATTACATGTAATGCTTTTATCTGTAATAGCATGAAAATTTATTTGACATCTTGCATTCAGTTTTCAGAGATTGTCACGAAATAGAAGTTCCTTCATAATAAAAGTTCCAAGTGGAAGAAATATTCTGTAATATCATATCCACTGGAACAAATATTACAGTATTTGTTCCTTACGGAGTAAACGGTATAGACTATTTGTTCCAATAGGAACAGATATTATGACATTGTTTATAACAAAGTTTACAGGGGAACTTCTGTTAGGCGGAACAAATATACGTTGACAAGATGACCCATATTTTCATGGAATATACTCCAATTTAAGGTAATGAAGGTTTGACCTGAAACAAGAACTGAAAGAAAACTGTTGATGTGTAAGAATGCAAGATTTGTTTATTTGCTAGGTTTATATTTTCTACCAATAAGTTAAGAAGCCAAGTCTATTTATACAGGAGCTTATAACCATGATGAATGGTTAAATAGCAGCTGCATATTCCCCATGTACACTATACCTCATTCTGATGAAGTGTCACACTAACTGAAGAGTTCAATGGCAGTATCAATTTCTCATTTCGCTTTCCCCCTGAAAAAAATAATTAAAAAAATAAATATTGATTACATTTGAAATCATTCTTCTCCAAGTTCATGAAGTTTTTGGCAGCAAAAGCAATAAATCAAAGTGCAGGAGTGCTGTTTGGGCAGTTGCCGTTAAGTCAATATTTTGGAAACTTCTATTTTTCATCCTTATGTAAAAGAATCACACCTGACAGGAGACTATTTTGATCAAATTATGATTATCAGAAAAAGCTATTTACAATTGATTTTGAAAATTAAATACTTTAATTCAATAAGTAAAAAGAAGAATTTTAAAAAGATAAATGTTTTCTAAATTTATTTAATACACAATATGAATGTGTGCTCATGTCCCTTCCTTTTTGAACAAGTACAAAATAAGATCCTTAATCACAAGTCAAACATGAATTAATTTCATAATAGATAACGTCAGTTATAAGGTTATCAGTCAATAAAAATAAACTTTATCATGTGTATAAAAATAAGAAAATGTTGTATGATTGCTAATAAGACAACTATCAATCAGAGATCAAAGGACCAGTATTTCTAAAAGCATTTATAGATTACAGAAGTTGTTTTGTTTATTGTTGAAGGACATATTCTCTATTCCTGATTTTTTTATTCTAAACTTCTGTCAAAAAGTATATAAAAAAAGGCATAAATAAATGACAGGACTCATCTTGTACACAGCTTAAGAAGAACACTGCTAAAATATATGCCATGTATGGATATGTCTATTGTTTACATAATTATTTGCATGTGTAGTGTGTTTATGAAGTTATGAATATGAAACACAAGACATGCAAGAGTGAACATGCTGAAATGTCCATGATGTCTCTCCTGCTTTACTAACCATGATCATGATGATTGATATTCTGTTGATAGTCCTAGAGATAAAGTTTTAATACAAGTATCACATAAACTTAACATTATCAATGATCCATGAAAATGAGGTCAAGGTCAGACAAACCAAGCTACATTTGTAGAAAGACATGTACACCTTAAATCATTTCATATACCAAATATAGTCATGATAGTTCACCTTTTGCTTATAGTACAAAAGAAACAGACCAAACCATGAAAATGTGATATTGACCAATGAACCATGAAAATGAGGTCAAGGTCAGATAAATCCTGCAAGACAGACATAAATTCCTCATCGTGGAAGAGTGTACAAATGTACAGTTACCTACAGTTGTGAACTTCTATGTCATTTGGTCTCTGGTGTAGAGTTGTCTTATTGGCAATCATACCACATGTTCTTATTTTAATATGTATACATTACAATCATTCCATGAATCAAATAAAGTTAACATATTGCTTACAGTATGCAAGTGAATTGTGTATGTTATTATTTGTTATTACACCAGTCATTCCAGTTGAAAGACTTGTTTAGATCAAAACCATTTGAAAAATTGATGATAACTGTAGAGTTGATTAATGTTAATGGTACTAACTTCTGTAATATATGTTTTTTGTAATATGAGGCAGGTGTTACCTGTGAAAGAAGACAAAGTCTGTTGGCATGCAATGTAAAAACGTCCTACTTGTTTTTTTTTTATCAAATTGAAACTTAAAATAATAAATAATTTTGATTCGTATTGCTAATTAGGAAATCATTACTTTTTTACAAAATAATTATGAACAATATCCAGAACAAAAATATATAATTACCATCATGACCATATATTATTGTATTGAGGCCTGATCAAATAAAAAATAACCAGGTTAATTAACCGACCTTTTTGCACAATTTTGCCCCCAACATTGGTCATGTGGTTATGCATACACAATAGTCTTAACAACTTCTAATAAACATGATAAAATCATAATCGACATAAATGCTTAATACTGCATAATCATCTGTATTTATTTAGGGTGATACATTGATTTGAATATAATTTTTTTTGTTTCTAATAAATCATGATTCAAGTAACATTTTTCCAGAAATGTTGTAAGTAAGAGTTGTCTTTCTTTAATAATCACTTATTTAAGTAATTTCAACACCCCCAAACAGTGAAATTTTGGACGCGAACAGTAAAATTTTATTACATAATCTGTAAGATGAAACCTTGAATTTTACAGGAAAAATACTCCCACTGCTGGAAAAATCTGTTAAGAAAGTATTAAATCATTATGTAAAGCTTCATTATATCATATTTTTCAACAAATATAGGATGTACAGATGAATGATTGCCGCAAAGGCATAAACCTTGCTACTTAAAAGAAAACTTAATATATAAATATTTAATATATCTTAACATTTTTCAAATAAATGTCTCCTCTGATGAAAATTATGTATTTAAATATGCTTCAATGACACAATTTTTTATCATCCACCTTTGCTCAGATTATTCATAAAATTCATTATAATATTTATGTAGAACTACATTGTACAAGTGAATTATATAAATTTTTTATCTCCAATAAATATTGTTTAAATTGGTGCTGGACCGACTTTAAATATGGGCCTGATCAACTTCCTGAACTACTTGAGACCAATCGACTTGGGACAGGATCGACACTAGCTAAAAGCTATAAATGTAGTCCTATGCTTTAAACAGTTAAATTATTTTATAATTTAATTTAATTATGAAAAAAAGGTAAATGGCTTCTTATATGTACTTTGTTCTCTTAATTTGTTACACCTGGCTCATATCATTTACATTAAAACTGCCACTGATACTGTAGTTCCTTACAATATTTAACAACAGCAATATTCACAGGTCCTGTGCAGGTGGCACACTGCATTTCCTGATTTGTGATGGGGGAATGAAAACTTCTGATAGCTTCCGAAAGTAAATATTATTGACAACGGCCTTTATCTATAATTCCAATATTACTTCAAACATACAGTTTTCGAGCTGTCTTATTTCAAAGAACCCTAAATTTGTCTTATTATACAATTGAATCTCCGTTTCGTAGCCTCTTGTATTATTTTTAAAACACGTCCCTGGTTTTTGTGCTATCTAAATACTTTATTTTGAATATTAGATAAATTTTGACGTTCGGTACCTTTCTAGGGTTTTCGCTACCTACATAGTAGAAAAATGGCAGCGCCCATGCAACGGGCAAGAGTTGCTTCTTGGAAACTGTTTTCACGACACTATAGAAAAAAATCGACCAAAATAATGCACCCATCAGAAGTAAATGATCAGTTTACATTTTTTTTCATTAACCACGCACATTGATAATTGTTTTGCAGGCTGAGCTAATCTCTTTTAGCTTCGTCTGACATTCGGTTACACAATCATGACACTCGTAAATATTTGTAAGTTTCCTCTATACAAGTTATCTTTATTTGTCTGCCAATCTCACAGAAGTTTCATTAAAATATTGACCTCAAAAAAGAAAATGTCGGACACCACAGAGGATTAGCGATTGATGTATGTCGGACGTCCCTTAAGGTTCATCATAACAAACGGACAAATATGGCGGTACCACGATTTCCCGAGGATAATTTACAAGAACAACGTAATATCCTGAGAACAAACAGATATATCCCAATAACAAGATTTTTGATGGTGTTATACTGCTTTTGACAATATTATAGAATATTAATTAAAGATATTACTCGTTTTTACTCAATAAAAGTGCAATTTCACTTCAAGATTTCGATTTATATGTGTTGTATGCAAATTCCTTGGTTAAAACAATATGGCGGACATAATTATTCAAAAGGTAGACACCTTAAAAAAAAAAAGTATTAAAAGTACTGAAAGAATAGTTCTATAAAAAACCTGAAATGATGAAAAGTTAATACAGTTATTATAACTTCATTCGGGTATTTACATGTAAGCTTATCAAATAATTTTTTTTACTTTACATTCATATAATAAACTGATTGTTGTTAATTAATATTTTTAATGCAATTATGATTCATCAAGATGTTTAAAAAAACATGTTTCCAAGTTTGAGTAAATTATATTTTCATTGGAAGGTACCATTATGTTATACCTGATTTATACATAATAATATAAGTGTTGGATACCCTGGTCTGGCCAGTTATAAGTTATGGTGCAGCCATTTGGGGCACCAGAGATTTTTCGTGTATTTATGCTGTCCAGAACAGAGCTACATGTATCAGGTCTTCTATGGGTGTTGGTAAATATAAACCCCTAACGATGCAATCCAAGGGGATATGGGCTGGAGACCTCCAAGTGTTTAGCAGTGGACTTGTGTTTTTCGACACTGGGCTAGACAACTGCTAGATGTAACATAATGTGCACAGATAGATTGAATTATAGAATATTGAATCTGAATGTAGAAGGTTTCTTTGACGTATTTATAAAATATACATAATCATGATAATTTTCCCCTCAAATTCAAAAATAAATACTAAAATTTATTTAAAAATAAAATTTAGATAATTTTTCAAAAATTTAAATAACTATTCTAAATAATGTAAAATTATAATTTTTTCTATGAATTAATTAAATGTATAATTTCAATCAGATACTTCAATAAATATCATGAATATATTAAATGTAGATAACTTTTCAATCAAATTTATTCATAACATTAATAAAATAGCATCAACACAGTTGCAAAATTCTTTCACTTATACAATTTATCACAATTAAATTATATAAATTGCCAAAATTCAACAACAATTAAAAAACCTCATTGAGCCAACAATACTACAGTACTTTGCTTCCAAGTCGAGTTATCTACCTTATGAATAATTATGTCCGCCATACAAGACATACAAATTGATTTTTGTCGAGCCTTCGACTTTAGTCGAAAAAGCGAGACATAGCGATCCTACATTCCGTCGTCGGCGGCGGCGTCCACAAATATTCACTCTGTGGTTAAAGATTTTGAAATTTTAATAACTTTCTTAAACTATCCTTGATTTCTACCAAACTTGGACAGAAGCTTGTTTATGATCATAAGATAGTATCCAGAAGTAAATTTTGTAAAAATAAAATTCCATTTTTTCCGTATTTTACTTATAAATGGACTTAGTTTTTCTGCCGGGAAATATTACATTCACTCTGTGGTTAAAGTTTTTAAAATTTTAATAACTTTCTTAAACTATCCTGGGTTTGTACCAAACTTGGACAGAAGCTTGTTTATGATCATAAGATAGTATCCAGAAGTAAATTTTGTAAAAAAAAAATCCATTTTTTCCTTATTTTACTTTTAAATGGACTTAGATTTTCTGCCAGGAAACAACACATTCACTCTGTGGTTAAAGTTTTTAAAATTTTAATAACTTTCTTATACTATTTTGGATTTGTACCAAACTTGGACAGAAGCTTGTTTATGATCAAAAGCTAGTATCTAGAAGGAAATTTTGTAAAAAAAATAAATCCATTTTTTCCATTTTTTACTTTTAAATGGACTTAGATTTTCTGCCAGGAAACAACACATTCACTCTGTGGTTAAAGTTTTTAAAATTTTAATAACTTTCTTATACTATTTTGGATTTGTACCAAACTTGGACAGAAGCTTGTTTATGATCAAATGCTAGTATCTAGAAGGAAATTTTGTTTTCTTCCAGTTAACATTACATTCAGTCTGCAGTTAAAGTTTTTAAACATTTATTAGATTCATAAACTATCCTGGATTTTTACCAAACTTGGACAGAAGCTTCTTACAATCAAAAGATAGTATCAAGAGGAATATTTTTATTGATTTACTTCTTCATTTTTGTTGAGCCTGCGATTAACAGAAAAAGTAGGCGAGACACTGGGTTCCGCGGAACCCTTACGAATTTTCTTAAAATAACTTGTACTTTTATTGAGTATAAACATCTTAAACCTTATAATTGTATGCTGTTACACTAATTTCAGAAGTATAACACCATGTAAAATCTTGTTATCGGGACAAATCAGTTTGTTCTCTGGATATTATTTTGTTAATGTTTACACCTTCTGCAGAAAGGAAAAAAAATGCCCATCAAAATCCAAAAAAGATTTTATCTTTCTGAAACACAAAATGCACTTAACTTTTATATATCTAGTGGATGCCAGGCATTAAAACTTTTCTTACTGGACAGGTTAGTCTGTACTCAGAGTAGTTTTTGGCATGTAAATACAGCCATATTTGTACGTTTGTTATGATGAACCTGAAAATCCGTGGCCTTCAGGATTGAAGGAAAATTTCCAGTCTCACAATAATGTACAAACTTGCCAACAGAAACATTTTCACTCCACCAGACAGATTATCCCGTCACATAAACATCAACAGTTTCCAAGCACTATCATGTAGAGCAGAAGTGAGGAAAGAATCATTTTACCCAAGAACAATTTGAGACTGGTACTCACTACCACATGCCCCCATCAGTCATGTCAGTACTGGTAGTCTTGAATGTTTCAAGACTCACCTACATGAGAAGAACTAGACCACTGTCTAGGATGTTTTTAACTTCAATATATATAGAATCGAATGTATAGCACAATCCTCTGTTTTGGCTTATGATTATTTACATGCACATCCAAAAGTGATAGAATAATCAGTTTTTATTGATGGTCAGTGGCGGATCCAGAAATTTTCAAAAGGGGGTCCCACTGACTGCCAAAGAGGTGGCCTGCTCCAGTCATGCTTCAGTAATTCCCTAAATAACCAAATTTTTCCCATAAAAGGGGGGGGGGGCAATACACCCATTATCATGATTATAGAATGATTAATCCAAGATACATGATATTTTATTAATATAAAAATAAGGAGATGTGGTATGATTGCCAATGAGACAACTATCCACCAAAATTCAAATGAAGTGGATGTAAGCAATTATAGGCAACCGTATGTACAATGTAAGCCAGTGTTCCAGCTAGGTCGTTTTCACAGGGCGGTCCGCCCGCCCTTTCCCGAGTGCCGCCCTGTGCCCTTTTTACAGTTTGCAGGGCGCCCTGCCTTTTTTGAAGATCGATTGGTATATTATTTTGTTCATATTGATATGATCAGCCAATTACGAAAATTTACCTTGCGACAAGTATATGACTTTGTTTACGACCCCAAGCTAATCAACGGTTACAACAGGTGTCATAATCTGTTGTTATAGGTAATCCGTTTATCGGATGGGTCATTTAATGATCATCAACATTAATTCATTCAAATAGAATCGGTCAGTCGGCATTTGTCTTTGAACTTGAAGAAATGTTCATACAACTTGGGCAATGTTTACCGTAGTTTAATGGAGAAAACGTAATTGACAGAAAGTCGAAAACCATAATCAACTCGTTAAAAACATTGCTATTATTGTTTTCTGTGAAATAAATAGCAAATTAAGACGTAATTTTCATTGACTGCCTTCATTTTTTATACGAAAATAACAAAATCGGCCACCATATTGTTGATCGTATTTACATCTTCTACGTACATGTACTGTTTATTATCCTCCAAAGAAGGAGCACACCCAAATAAAGAAAGATAACTCAATCTTATTTTTTCCTAGCATTGAGTAACCTACTAAGATATTATAAAATATGTCTTCATACTTCTGGCTTTAGAATTTATATGTTTAGGTGTTTTGAGTTATGGGAAAAGTTAAAGAGGGTCTTAGTAGCAGGGTTGGTAGGGTGCCTTGGTCATCTGTTTCTGTATTTTTTATTTTCAATCCAAATTTTCACTGTTCACTATATCCTAACATTGTGCATTTACAGCTGTTTTGTGCTGTATTGCCATTAAGCACAGAAAAGGTAGAAAGGTTAAACTTGTAAAGTGTGTCAGACCATAGAAACAGAATGAAGCAGGACATTTTTCAAACAATACTGCATATAAAGCTTAACTGTGCCAAGCAATGATTTAAAACTTGTGTGACAAGTTTTCAGCCTAAAAAGTAGAAAGATAGTTTTTCTCTGGGCTTATGATGTTGTTCTTGTATATATAAAACCAGTGATTCAATGAACAAAAAGTGTTTGATTATAATCTTTATTAAAACATGCCCTTTTCATATTATCATATCACGCGTTAAATGCCCTTTTTCAGGATTGGCACCCTGCTCTTTTGAAATCCTAGCTGGAACACTGTTAGCCAATTATGGCACCCATTGCTGAGCATAGAAATGATTCATAACAAAACAAAACAAAATAAATACATTAAACAAAATTGAAATCTTTGATTAACAATTAGAATGAAATGGCAAAATATTATATTTCTTATCCTTTTTTTTATTACACCTCGGGTTAATTATGATGTTATGATTGGTTTAAAGCCGTCACGTGGTGACCCCTATGGATCTGTAGGGGTCAGTAGATTTCATATGGGGTTCATGATGTAACATGTACTATTAATGGTGACGTCATCGATTAATGTTTTGGTATGTCATAGCTTGTTTTTATGCATAACTTAGCAGGAAAATACCTGTATGTGATAAATTCATTATACCGTTCACAACTGACCCTCTTTGGATCCGTAGGGAGTCAGTAGCAAACCATATAACTGATAATATAATTTAAATAGAGTAAGGTACATGTATATCATGTATATATTTCTGAGTACAGAATTATCGTCATATGACATAAGCCAAATAAATTAATTTTTATCCACAAATTTTTTGAATTCTTAAATTCTTTTTCTAATATATCTGTATATCATGTATATTTAAATATTTATATCTATCTTCACTATAACCTTTGCATTTAATTAAAAAAATTATAATTATTAAAAAAAGTTTTGTGACATAATTTGATTCAGGTTGGAGTTTTTTTCCCTTTGGAAAAGAAGCCTTTGAATTTCTGTTTGTCCAAAAGTAGGTAGCTTTTGTATAAACATAGCTAGAAAAATGTCCAGAAAATAATTCAGCAAACATCGATGTGCAAATAAACTGATGTTTTTTATTCTTTTATGCAGGATGTAAGAAGTATAAAAGAAAACGAACTTCCAATGGATCCCACGATATTAAACAAGATAAAGGATGGTGAAATCAAACCACGGAAAAATCCTGGGATAATGAGATTAAAGACTGTTGTTTTACCAATAAGACTGGAGAAAGCTGTGGATTTATTATTTCAAAGTATGTTGTCATTTCCATGAAATCGATTCATGAGATATTTTTACAATAGAATGAATTTAAGTGGTTTATTTTCAGGGAGTTCAAATTTGCAAACTCTTAGGGCGAACCTTTTCGTAAGATTTTATTTTCAGCTTTTTATCTTGTTCATGATTCTGGTCTAAAGATCAAATTTTCACAAAAGGTTGTTTTCACAATTTTATCCTAAAGGCAAAATTAATGAAAATAAACCCCTTGTGAAAATTTCCCATTTACAATTTTTAGCCTTTTATCATTTTGATGGTACATACATTGTATCATCTTCACTAGCCAAGGGTTACAATCCACTTCCCTCCTCTCCACCCTTGGCAGATTAAGCCAACATTTGTGATAACAATGTTGCGCCATCTATTGGTAGATTAAAGTCACGCCCATTCCTAATACGTTATTCTTGACCAATGGTAGCACTTGAACTCTTCAATCTGGAGGTAAAAACACGGTAGCATCTAGATTCTACACACTTGGTAAAGCAGGAAACGAAAATATACGTTGACATTAATGCATTTGTGCAAGAAACATACACAGGAACTTCTATTAGTTGATTAAAAACATTCAAATTGTCACTAAATATAGTCGTATGTTTAGGGATGTAAAGACTTGTTGCACAATAAGCAATTGTTTAAATACACTTTCTACATTTACACGTGATCATGTTATAGGCGCTTTTTGATTGGATGCAGTGAGTTTCGACTGCAACCAATGAAAATCATTACCTTGTGTCTCCGAAATTCTATCTCAATCCGCCAAGGGTGGAGAGGAGGGAAGTGGATCGTAACCCTTGGCTAGCGAAGATGACATTGTATGTGTCTTAAGAAATTTTGTTTAATTGTTATATAGCACTACAGGTATGTTCAATTAAACTGAGTGTGTGAAGAAAAAATATTTTAACATATTTTTAGAGTATGGAATGCAAGGTATTATTAGTGATTCAAGGAAGTTAAATACAAGTTTAATGACACGACAAATGCCAATGGAAAGAGCCGGTGTAATGGAAAGGAAGAATGTTATTAGACAAAAAATTTTGGAAAAAGGTAAGAACAATTACAAAAAGACATATTTTAATACATTGTAAAACTAAAATGGAAACAGATCACAAAAGCTAAATGAGGAAAATGGCAGTAAACATTATGGAATTTCAACATATCACATTGAAAATCGTTGTTGGCAAAAATTCCTGTTTTAAAACTGCATATGTTGAGACCTGTTTTATAAGTTGCAATATGAAGTATTGTCTGTTCTTTATAGGCAGTGTCTGCGCGTACCCGCATGCGGGTAAGAATAGTCAAATTGCCATTCATAGGCTACGCGTACCCACATCCGGTTTTATAATAAAATGCCATCGGAATGGGAATGAAACGTGAAATATATACGGAAATTGTTGATAATATGGAGATTTCGTGTAGAACGAGTGAAGAGTATGAAAAATAATATTTTCAAATTGTATTTATTAGATAATGATACATAATAAACATTGCAAATTAAATGCACACTGATGGAAAATGAAACTGTACAGTCCCTGTAAAAGAAAAACATGATAAAAATTAATACTATTATAAAATGTAAATGCAAATTTAAAGAATAAAATTTTACTGATTTTGAAAAATACCCATATGAGATTTAAAAATAATCTTTTAGTAAAATGTAAAACAGAAGCTGAAATTTTAAAATATCTAAAACGATTAAAATTAAAGCTTGGGTGTCTATATAAAAATTAAAGAAGCAAGTAATAATGTCAAATTAAACCAATTATAAAAGATTCATGTAACTAATTAAGATTTGGAACAAATTTTACATATCCAATATGATTGTTTTGGCACGTATTTCAACCCTGCACATTTCAAATGTTGCCAGTCCAAACAACAATCACAGGCCAAAGAGTCCTGATCGTGTAGTATTTTTTGACATTTGATACATATCCATTCGCATGATTCTCTTCTTTCGTTGATCCGAATTTTAAGTTGCTTCCACGCTTCAGAGGTAAAATATTTTTTGATGCGCTGAAGGTTTATATTTTCGTCAAATATTTTGTTATTTATTAACGAAGCATCTAGGAAGATGGTCAAATAAACATTTATTGATCTCATGATTGTGAGAACTGTGTGATTCCCTCACAATCAGGTTCAATATCATGAACGGTTTATAATAGAAAAACGAAGTATTCAACATAAAAAAAATAAACTTCACTAATGAATGAAACGCTGCAAATTCGATTTAAAACTACAATTTAAAACAAATACTTTGTATTAGGTCTTTTTCCTGTCGAACTTGTTTGGAATTTTTTGCCACCATGAATACAGGAAAAATTTATTCTGTTTAACTTTAATTCCTCTTTAATTTTTGTGTTTCCAGTTCTTCTTTTCTCTGCAGGTGCAATTGACTCCGAGTTTCTTTTATACAATTGTATAAAATTAATCGACTGATAGTTCTGAACAAATTGTTCCAATTCATGATAACTTTGAAATGTCTTCCCCACATGTATATCACTCTCTTCCATTTTAAGAATATTTATTAACTGAGAAAAACTGTTCAGTACCTATATATAAATATTTATAAAAAATCTGAGTAGTTTTAATCAATTTATTCACTAATTGCGACAAATTCCGTATATATTTCACGTTTCATTCCGGATCCGATGGCATTTTATTTGAAAACCGGATGTGGGTACGCGTAGCCTATGAATGGCAATTTGACTATTCGTACCCGCATGCGGGTACGCACAGACACTGCCTTCTTTATAACTATAAAACAATCAGTCGAAATTCACCATAGATATGGATGTTTGATAGGAATGAAGATTTTGTTCACATTTTGTATAAAATTGATAATGCAATTAGCGAAATTTCCTCATGATATTACCATCTGGTATTTGGAACATTCAAATTTTCACAATAGAGAGGTCCTCCTTACTATAGTTTTTAACAAAGACATATGATGTTATTTAGAAAGTTCACATACCCATAAAATAGTGTGCACTTCATTCTCATATGTTTTGTTTCATACTTAATGTTTTGTTTACCAATATTCTAAAGAAGGTATTGTTAACAAACTATTGCAAATCACCTCTAGTGTCATATGAAACCAAAATTAAAACTATTAATTATAATATAAGCAACAATGTCATAATAAGATCGAAAGAAAAATATAAGCAATGGTGGTTGGAGAGAAATAGACTTCCTTTCTGCATCATTTATTATTGAACACTGTTCCATGTGGGCGTTCTTAAATATGATGGAAAAGGGGCATGGCACCAAATTTTTTTCGTAAAAAGGGCAGGATGTCAAGAAAACATGTCAGGGCGCCATACCACGCCAAAACCTCCTGTAGTAAACACGGCAGGGTGCCATACCACGCCAAAACCTCCTGTAGTAAACAATACTTTTATTAGGATGTTGCTAATGTATCATATAACTGTATATGACATCGTATACCAAGATTATGTGTGTGAACAGATTGACAACTATAGATAGAGTACATTATGGTTTGATATACCTTAGTCATTCTAATGTTTTGTTTAGATTGACAACTATAGATAGAGTACATCATGGTTTGATATACCTTAGTCATTCTAATGTTTTGTTTAGATTGACAACTATAGATAGAGTACATTATGGTTTGATATACCTTAGTCATTCTAATGTTTTGTTTAGATTGACAACTATAGATAGAGTACATCATGGTTTGATATACCTTAGTCATTCTAATGTTTTGTTTAGATTGACAACTATAGATAGAGTACATCATGGTTTGATATATCTTAGTCATTCTAATGTTTTGTTTAGATTGACAACTTTAGATAGAGTACATCATGGTTTGATATACCTGAGTCATTCTAATGTTTTGTTTAGATTGACAACTATAGATAGAGTACATCATGGTTTGATATACCTGAGTCATTCTAATGTTTTGTTTAGATTGACAACTATAGATAGAGTACATCATGGTTTGATATACCTGAGTCATTGTAATGTTTTGTTTAGATTGACAACTATAGATAGAGTACATCATGGTTTGATATACCTGAGTCATTCTAATGTTTTGTTTAGATTGACAACTATAGATAGAGTACATCATGGTTTGATATACCTGAGTCATTCTAATGTTTTGTTTAGATTGACAACTATAGATAGAGTACATCATGGTTTGATATATCTTAGTCATTCTAATGTTTTGTTTAGATTGACAACTATAGATAGAGTACATCATGGTTTGATATACCTGAGTCATTCTAATGTTTTGTTTAGATTGACAACTATAGATAGAGTACATCATGGTTTGATATACCTGAGTCATTCTAATGTTTTGTTTAGATTGACAACTATAGATAGAGTACATCATGGTTTGATATACCTTAGTCATTCTAATGTTTTGTTTAGATTGACAACTATAGATAGAGTACATCATGGTTTGATATACCTTAGTCATTCTAATGTTTTGTTTAGATTGACAACTATAGATAGAGTACATCATGGTTTGATATACCTTAGTCATTCTAATGTTTTGTTTAGATTGACAACTATAGATAGAGTACATCATGGTTTGATATACCTGATTCATTCTAATGTTTTGTTTAGATTGACAACTATAGATAGAGTACATCATGGTTTGATATACCTTAGTCATTCTAATGTTTTGTTTAGATTGACAACTATAGATAGAGTACATCATGGTTTGATATACCTAAGTCATTCTAATGTTTTGTTTAGATTGACAATTATAGATAGAGTACATCATGGTTTGATATACCTTAGTCATTCTAATGTTTTGTGCTACATGTGAAAACAAACATACAGATTGTCCTAAAGATTTCCTAGGATATAACAAATCTAAAGTATGTAGTTGTGGTAAAGATGCAATCAAAATCATCATACATGTAGGACAGGCTTGATAGTTATATTTTCCACTCATCACTAATTATGAAAGTGTTCAAAAACATAGTGCATTGAGGTTAACATTCTTTTCTTCCTATCTATGTACTTATATCATGTATATAGAAATTTATCAATGGGATATGTACCCCAATATTCAAGTTACAATGAAGTGAAAGGTAATATTTAGAATAGGAGTTGCCTTCCTTTGTCCATAATTGTAGTTACAAACTAAAACTATGGACAAAGGATGATACATCCAATTAAAAAATATTGCCTTCCAATGCTTAATGCATTGCAATGTTTAATGTTTAGTTCCCAATGATTAAAGGATTCAATCTTTACCCTTCACTGCTAATGAGCACTTTGAATCTCTTTTATAACCAGTTTAATTTTGTTCAATTTTTCATTTTGTACTTACCTTGTGTTAAAGATTAACAAGCTGTAATATCAGAACCATTAATATGTTTATAGATGACATGTTGTAATATAGAATAAGCAAACCAAGTTTAGTGAAAGCTTTTTTCACATGATACTGTAAATAGACAAGCATTGATATAAGTCTACACCATATTGTAGATTTGTGAGTTAAATACTGTAATAAAATTAAATAAATAACTGTTATAGAAACATTTTATAATACAGATAAAAATAAACATGGCCCCATTTCATCTGACAAAGAAATGGAATATATGAATGAAATAGAGAGAAGAGTTGAAGTGGAATTGAAACATAAACATTTATCCCACTGGAAAAGTAAACAGTAAGTACATGAAGTATAAAGTTTGTCAGGATTCTTCCTTATAGCATACACAAGGGGTGTCATCGTAAAAGCATACACAATGGGTGTCATTGTAATAGCATACACAATGGGTGTCATCGTAAAAGCATACACAATGGGTGTCATTGTAATAGCATACACAATGGGGGTCATCGTAATAGCATACACAATGGGTGTCATCGTAATAGCATACACAATGGGTGTCATCGTAATAGCATACACAATGGGTGTCATGGTAATAGCATACACAATGGGGGTCATCGTAATAGCATACACAATGGATGTCATCATAATATCATACACAATGGGTGTCATCGTAATAGCATACACAACAGGGGTCATTGTAATAGCATACACAACGGGTGTCATTGTAATAGCATACACAACGGGGTCATTGTAATAGCATACACAATGGGGGTCATCGTAATAGCATACACAATGGGGGTCATCGTAATAGCATACACAAGGGGTGTCATCGTAATAGAATGCACAATGGGTGTCATTGTAATAGCATACAAAATGGGTGTCATTGTAATAGCATACACAATGGGTGTCATCGTAATAGCATACACAATGGGTGTCATCGTCCAAATCTATTTTTGTGGCCATTGTCACTGTCAACACTGGTATTTGTGTGAATGATTCAGTATGAAATACCTCTCTGTATATTCTCTCAGTAGAATATGATAGGTTCTTAAATGGTAAATCACCAGCAATCCTATTGTTTCACAGCGATTTACTCAACTGATGGGATTTTAAGCTTGATCCCCTTGTGTGTACTGTGTTCACCATATTTGATTTTGAAATTGATTTGAGAGGAAATATCAGCATTAGTAATACATAGATAAACTTAAAAGGTACATTTGATAAGCAGGGTAAGGGCTGTTCTAGGGGCATGTGAACAATTTTAAGTGCTTTCCCTTGGTTCCATATATATATATTTATTTTTATATTGAAGTTCCTATTATTTTGTTTGCAAAAAACTGTAATAATTTTCAATGAACTAATCTTAACTCTGGTTATTTGTTTTATTTCGAGTGCAGGTATGATGCAAAAAGTGGTATGAAATATATGATGGCAAGAATGGCTCAGAATTATGCTGTATTATTACAAGTCTTGAATGAAGTAAGTGCTCTAATATAATACTTGTTTTTCTTTTGTATTTTTATATACTATGAGAGTTTGAAACCAACTGGGCTATTTTTATGCATAAAACGTAGTTGCAATGGAATGTGATTTCTAAACAAAAAATGCTTTTAAATCAGTAAATATGTTTGAAAATTGATAATTAAAGATATATTTGAAGTTTGTTTTTTTGGCAATTTTAGAAATTTGAAACAACAGTCATTGAATGATTGATTTATTCGAATAATTCTTCATATTAAAACAAAAGAACATTATAGTTTAGGTTACAAAAAATATACATGTGTTTACTGTCACACGATGACAAAATCAGGATTGGTAGTAAGGCCAGACTTTTTTTTATCTGTTTAACGAGAAAATTTGTAAAAAATTAGGGTTGAGGGGACGAAATAAAAAAAAAATAAAAGTGCAAAGTTGGTCCAGTCGACACTAAAAATAAAAATAAAACCATTATAAGTGACTTTTCTTTTTTTTCTTAAGAATTTATCAAAATACAAGAACAATGAAATGAAAACAGACCAGTATATAAACCTTCTATTAATATGAACATAAAAAATATCTTTTGATTCTGTATGTCCTCTTATTTAGATCCATGCATATGCACCAGGCAAATATATCAACCTCCCTGCATATACACAATATATATGTATATTACCAGTCAGGAACCTCTTAGTGTATGTTACATGTTAATACTGTATATACAATTCAATTAAAAAAACTACTCTGTTATCATGCTCATGAAATTAATTATTTTTCATTAAAAAGATATATTTATTTAACCGTTAAGCTTGGAAATAATATAATTATTTTATATTAGTGTAATAGACATGGTTGAGCAACATTAACTTATAAATTGAAACAATGCATTAAAAAGGAAATATAAACATTAATCAAAAATATCTAACCAAAAGTACGTTAATGCGTGTGGAATGCGTAATTTTTCCTTTTTGGATCAATTTTTTTGTCTGTCAGCAGTGCCATTCATGCGTCCGTAGTCATTATCGCAAGAATCAGGATTTCGGTCATAGCGGGTATGCTTCCGATGAAATCTGGACTCCAATCCGTAGTTCTTCAAAAATATACCCAATAATTTAAATGTCGGAGAAAACTTTACAAAAATAAACGATGTTTGATACGCTTTTTGGAAAGGAATATGACGTTTTTAATGCAATACATGGATTACAAATTTACTTCAGGCTAATTTCATCAAGTTCAAACGAAGTAATAACTTATTTAGCCGCAAGTTAGAATGATTTGATGTACTCTCTCGTGTAACAAGTACCGGCTAAAGTGGTTTTAAACAAATTATTTTTATGAAAAAACATGTCACCAGCTTAAAAATACAATGCTTTAACCTCTTTTTTGAAGTCATAAATCGTTTATGCCTTTAATTTCTTTACTCTGAAATTGCTGTTTCATCGACTTGGTAAAAATTAAATATTACCGATGAAGAAAGCAGGTATCGTAAACCACAGAATTTATTTTTGTTCTGAGGATTTCGTAACAGTCGGTGGGAAAAATAAAAATAAAAGTAAAAAGCACTTCTTTTATTTTTATTCTGAAATCGGGAAATTGGAGTCGGCAGATCTCGTTAAACAGATAATAAAAAAAGTCTGGCCTTAGGAGATTTTTTTTTTTTAGGTTGAGTCTGAATGGAAGACGAATTGACTTTGATAGTGCTAAACGAAAAATTGTTGAAAAAATTAGTTAGGGGGTTAAATATAGAGTACGTTGGGTGACATTAAACAGTTACATTCCTATTTTTTATTGTGGCCATAGTCAAAGTCTCAAAATTTTGATAGACTTCAAAACTATAGCTGACAATTGAACTTGTTTTTCTATATTTCAGATTTGGACAAGAGATCCAACTTACATACCAAAAAGTCTATATAATTATGGATCAGGGCTAGGTTCAGTTATATGGTAAGGCCAAATGCCACAGAAATGCACTCTTCACTCTTTCAATCAATAATTGATAAAATTAGAATTATATTAAGATTTTGAAAGAAACATTTACCATGTTAACTCTTTTTTGAGTTTGTATAAATTACACTTTTGGGAATAAATACAGATATTGAAAGCAGGGATTCCAAAATTTCCTGACGACAGCCGGACATTTTTCAAAGAAATATTTTTGACGGTCAATGATCAGCTGGATACTTAAATGTAACTGAGAGGATGCATAAATTGATATATGTGTCTAAATAATTAGTAGTGTTATATGCAATAAAATTATTTATAACTGTTTTGTTTTTTTCATTCTAAAAATAAATAAAATATTATCCTCAGTATTGTGTCATTTTTCTGTGTATTGTAATACAGTAACCATCATTGCATCAATCAGCTTCAGTACCTGACTGTTCTCATGTTTTTGTTTCTGTTTATATAATCTATCTTCTCTCTGTGAGTACTTAACACTTTGTAAATTAAGGCCATCTTATTTGAAACTGTTGATGTTGGCTTTAATTGCAGTACAACTTGATCATCAATACACGTGATACTTTTATTTTTGTGTATTGATTACCTGACCACGTGACTTTTACAACTGATGCGGTATTTATAGATAACATTGAGGAGGCCCAATGAAGGATATTGTTTTAAACCGTGTAAAATCTACTGAACAGTGATAACATTTTTCTTTGTACAATTTTCCAACCTGATTTAGAAAATAAGGAATAAATAAAAACATACTCAGTTGATAAATAATTTAATGAATATATAACAACATGATATTTTATGTAAGCATATAACAACAATAAAATATCAGAAGAGCACAATGTTGACAAACACACGCAATAAATATTACAATGAGCACATTGAAAAGAAGCACAGATCACAGCACAAGATATGAGTTCATTTAGTCTAATTTAAGATTTTACATTCATGAGCTTGCTAAATGCATTGTTCTGATAAACATGGAGGTTATGAACGGATTGCCATTTGCGGATAGCAGGAACAGGGTCAAAGTCTTTAACATCTACACCTACTAAGCTTATCCTCATAAGTTATAATATATATAATTTAGAAGTGATCACGGCACCATTTAACTTAGTTAAATCATTTATTGACTGAAATTTGTCCATTGGTAAGTTTTCTTTAGCAATAAAGTAAGCATTACGGAACAAGGTGCACATTGCGTTGTCAGTCTTTTCATGAACTTTCTCAAATACTGATACAATTGGATTACTTTTGGAAGCTGTCTCTAATTTAAGAGCTTGAATGTGGTCATTGCTTTTAGCATGCTCTACAACGGCTGACTTTCGAAAATTTGTCGAACCAGGCTTTACAAAGTTATTTTTAAGTTTATGTTTTTGACAAATGTCACAAAACATGGCATTTAGCATACTGTCAAATCTTAACCATAAAAACAGTTGTAACCATTTATGAATAAAGCTTCTAGCATTTTTAGCAGATTTCGAATTTTGATCGGAATCGTCACGTTTACGTTTGCCCATGATGGCAGATTTGTAAAGTTCAATTTGAGACAAAGTCTTTATAACAGTCGGCGATTGTCATGATTGGATATTATTCTTTATGATTTTAATTATAAAAACAGTTTTTAATATGAAAACAAGAATAGAGAACGCCCCCTTATTTATTGGACAACTCAGCTTGGTATACCAAAGCGAAGCTATTCTCGGTGTTTTTCCTATATATTTTAGTAAATTTTCCCCTTGAGAGTACCCCAGTATTTAACACGATGTACAGTGTTAAATAAAATAATATATATCATACTTATTCATTTATAAATATCCTTATTTGAAGAATAACTTTTAAATATCAGGATACTTTTTAAACTGAATGCTCATTTAAAATAATATCTATAAAGCGTAATTAAATAGGATGTTGTTCCATACACGCTTACATGTTTGACCTCGTTTACCTGATTACCTTTATGTACATTGTTATGCATCATTAATTCTATTGATAAAGACCAGCTAAAGACACCTCATCAAAGGTAACAAACCTGTAATCAGTGAATGATTTATGGCTTCAATATAACTTATTGAAGGGATAATTGTTTGACAGCTTGTTGTTATTTAAATAAAAGAAAACGTGTTTTTTCTACTTTTTATTGATGTACACAAGCTAAAGACCAAGCCGTACATTTATGTACCCAGAGGATTAGACTAACTGAGACACTTCAAAGTATCTGAAATATGCTGCTTCTGTTTTACTAAACCCAATTATGACCGAAATATCTTTGTGAAATAGATTGCCACAATTATAAACTAAAATGCCCAAACGGACATGCCCAAAGCCCCAAACGGACATTTTTATCGATCTATAGTTGGTAAAAATTGAAATGACCGTTTCATGAAAATGCCTTGAATAACAAAATGTGGCACACCAATTCTATTTGACCGTTTGAGGCTGAGAGCAACCGGTCTTTTTATGAAAGTTTCGGTCAAGTCCGGAATATATGACCGTTTTGGAAGCCCTGATTGAAAGTCTTAAATTCATTGAAGAAAAGCGTAATTCATTTCGTAGTTAACTAACATGCTTAAGTTTCATTGTGTTTATCATTTTATCCCTGTATTTAGTCAATAATTTAACATACTAATACTAGTATATGACTGTCTTTGTTATGGAGTATCTCATTATTAATAGGGCAGCACACAATAATTTAGAGTATGATATCTCAAAAAAGGCTGTTCCAGAAATAAATATATGCAGGATGGGAGGCACCTTTACCCCACCATGCATAAAATTTTAATTGGTTATTTCCTATAATTGTTCAGGCTATCTTAATAAAATAACCACCATCCATCCAATTTTAAAAGAGTTACCTCCCATCCCCCCTTCAATTAATTGTGGAACAGCCCTATTATGGTACTAATCTGATGTGGAATGTCTCGTATCTCATGATATAAATGTAATGAGATTGCAGTGAGACCAATATCTTTAGAGGAAAGAATAAACAACTACAAAAAGTGTGCAAATTATTCCTTCAGCTCATTACAATACGTTTATAATTTTTTTTTCATTTGACAGTTTTATCCTAAAAATGCATTGCCATTGAATATTAACAATCCATATATCAAATGTACTCTGTAATTGTATTGTACAGGAGCTAAAAATGATTATGGTTGGCAGAAAGTGATGACAAAGATATATCACAGTGTATATATATAGATTATAACATGGCATTTTTCATATCAGACCCCTTATCAGCCCTAGGTCATAATATCAGCCCGAGAGCCGATAGGCTTGAGGGATGATTTTGACCATGGGCTGATAAGGGGTCTGATATGAAAAATGACATGTTATGTTCTTTTTATCATATACTTCAGCAGAAGACATACAGACAAAAACTATTTTTAAAACTTTGAAAAAATGCATTTGTTGTAATATTTGTTTTGCATTTTTTAATAATATATTTTCTTGATTCCTAATATTTTTCATCCAACTTTGTTATGTTTTACACAAAATACGTACCGTTAAGGTGTATTTTCCGGAATTTGCCGAAATGACGTCGAATTGTCATGCGATAATTGTTACAGAAAAGCATGCGCTAATAACCAGAAGCAGTTGATATAAAACGGAAGCAGTTGATATAAACCGGAAGCAGTTGATAACAAAAGTCATATCACACGGCTTAAGCAATTCTTCAAATTTAATGAATAAATATATGTACAAATTAGTTTTATCATTAGGTACAATTATACCATTATTTTCTATAAGTATATGATAAACCTTGTTTCAGAGTAATGTATACTTGGCAGTTACTCTTATATTTATATTGTAGGGCAGCTCAGAACAATCCTGATTGGCAGAGAGACATATCTCAGTATTACTGTGTTGATCCTTCTGTTGATATTAATACCATAGCAAGATTACTGTTACAAGGTATAGTATGGTCGTAGTAAACAGTAAAAGTGGCAAAGTGTTCTAGACAAAAACACTTCTGAATTGTTTATACTTTGCCAAAACATAGTTTATATCATACCATTAGAAAATGATTAGGAAAAGTGTTTGCTCCAAGATTGTTATTTTTGAGCATGTTATGCAAAACTTATTTACTATTGATTATCTTACAGAAAAAAACACAGTTATCATGGTTATATGAAAAGAATGCAAATATATTTTTTGTTTCCCATAGCAAAACATCTATAGAAGGGGGTAGCCATCTTGTATACTCAACTCTTCTGACACAACTTACTGGATTTCATTGAAACATTCACAGAATTAGAATATATAGAGGCTTTCTTCTACTGTTTTATTTTTTATACTGATTGATTTTATGGGGTTTTATTCAAAATACACTTAGACTTTCCTATATCTATACATATATGGGAGTGAGGTATGAATTTGTGAAATCATCTCACATTTTTTTTAGAGATTAACTATATTTATTAAATAAAATTTGTGAAAAAGCTTTCATTGAAAACTGTCCCAAAAAAAAAAAGAAAGAAAGAAACATCATTTTTTTTTATTTTCTTGCTACAAACAAAATATGAAGATGTTATTTAAAAAATATCTTCAATTGAATTTTTTTGATTAATCAAATAAACTCATCAAAGAAATCAGTTTTAACATTTTGTACGCCAGACACATGTTTGGTCTACCAAAATAGTTAAAAAGGCCAAATAAAGTACAAAGTTGAAGGGCATTGAGTTCTCAACATTTTAAAAGGTTTTCAAAATGTGATTCTGACAAGTAACAAGATGGTTACCAATGGTTTGAGTTTTTTCATTCGTATGAGGTCATGTTTTGCCATGAGATTTATGTGCCAAAATCATTGAAGAAGTTGTGCAGAATTTTTTTTTATTTTAAATTTATGTATTTCTTTTTGTGATGCATAAGTTTAGGAATAACAGTACTGTACGTAGTTGAAGAGTTACTGTTGTCAATTGTTATTTGACGGTCGCAAATATTTATTTTTGTGTCTCCACTACACGTCGCCAGTTAAACTTCAACCTATATTCCTTTACATCAATGACATTTGAACTCTGGTGGATAGTTGTTTAATTGGCAATCATATCTCATCTCTTTATTTTTTTATGTAATATGTAACTAGTTTTGTGTAAAGCAGTAGTTTGACAGTGAACAAAAATGAATTGATAAAATAACTTGAACATTTTCTTTATAGATGGACATGAGGAGAAATCTATGCATGTAAATGGAGTATTCTTTAAGAAGTTCCCACCATCACCATCCACAGTAAGTACAGATCAGACAAGGTTCCAACCTTTACCCTCCACTTGGGTTATTCAAATGGTGTATAGTAACTTAAGTATAGTTTATGAAAAGAAATAGACACCCTCACTGTTCACATTTAGTATATTATATAGAAAATTCCATTCACACTGTTCCTAGTAAGTATTGTTCATAAAAGAAAATAAATTTTCCTTTTTGTTCACAGTAAAAATCCCAAGTTTGGATCCTAGCCATTGGTTGTCTGAAGTCAAATCTGAATGTTTTTGTAATCTGTGGCTCTTTTCACAAAATATCTTAAGAGTAAAAATACTTGTAAGTCATACACATTTCAGTATAACTTATGATCAATTTTAATCGTAAGATATTTTGTGAAAAGAGTCGCTGGAGGATTTGGTATTTATGGCATAACTTTTATAGACTGACAGGGATTTAGAGCTTGACATATTGTATAGACAACTGTCTATTGTTAAAAAGAATGTATGTTTCACGTAATATGTCAGTTGCTTACTGTCTCATTGAGGAAATACTGTGGATTCCATGTTCAATGGTATCAATATTTGTGGATTGAGGAAAACTGGTATCTTCATTGATATTTGATATGTTGGTTTTGCTATAGTCTACATATAAGCCTATAGAAAATTAGTAATCTGTTGGAACATTTCAATTCAGGGTTCACCTTTACCCAAGAAATCCACAAAAATTGGTATCTTAAGAGTCCACAGTATCCCACATCTCCTTTTATTCATAAAGTTTATTAAAAATTTCTACTGTCACCTTTTACTGTAACAGTAAGTCGAGTTGATGAAGAAAAATTCCACCCTCACAGTCCACAGTGTGTGTTTAAAGTTCCAACCCTGACTGTCTGCAGTAAGTATATATATTATGACTGAAATACACCAATGCCTTTCATATCCATATTTTAGTTTGTAATAAACTTATTCCAAAAAATGTTTTAAGATGATGTATGATGTATGAATTTTTATTTATCAAATTCAAACTAATTGAAATTCTGATCTATCATCATTTTTTTTTCAGAACTCCTTCTCTACCGTTGTGAGTGCCTACACATTAATAGAATGTGAAAATAAAGAAGCTAGACAGAAAATGGTGCAGTCATTATGGGATATGACAGAAGACTATCTGGTATTGAATTATCACAGATATATTCACTCTTTAGATTTCATCTATGTTTTGAACACACAGTAATATTCTGATACCAAAATATAGATACAAATATACCAATAGTACTGTTTAAGCAGTCAAATTCTTATTTCCACGTGTTCATTTATTTCTTTCTGTCAAACTTAAAGGTCTGAGAAAACTTTAGGTTGTAGGTGTTAAAAGCTTAAGGCACTAAGATACATAGCTTTTTCCAAAGAAATAAATTAAATTTTCATATACTTAATAAATAGCCATGTTTAGAAAAGATATTTCCTGAAGTTATTTATAAATTGCATAAAGCAGTTGATGAAATCTATTGGCACTCCACAAGAAAAACAATAAATATCCATAAACTTTCAAAGATAGTCCTCATTAATAGAAAATATTTGCTAGAGACTTCTTCAGGTGAATTATTGATATTACATATCAACAATGTTATTCTTATAAGTGTTTATATAAGTCAGCTATACCTTGTGATGCATTTTCAGATTCATCACTCAACAACTTCCTGTTTACTGTCAAATATTTGGGCTGGGGGTATCATCAGTGAGAAGTAGCTCGCAGTTTCACTTGTTTCATTTTATTTTTTGCGACATGATTTTGAGTCGTGCAGTCCATCTTGCCGTGGTTCAAGTTGTCCATGGGCCGAGTTTACACATATTTTTTATGATTGGATTATTTCCCTTGGTTATTGGTTGGATCAAAATGGGGGCAAAGTGTTTATTTTATCACACGAATTGCAAGTTTCCTTAGAACAGCCGTATATTCTAGATTGTGAACATTTAGATGTATCATTGAATGGATTTATTTTATTGGCAACTCTAACTTTGCTTTTGACACGAGTTCAGTTAATTTTTCACTTTACGACAAAAATAAAATGACTTAGGGTCAGTGCTCAAAAATAAGGTATGTTTGGGTAACTGTAAACAGACATGTATTTTTTTGGGCCTAAGAGTGACGATTGAGGACCATAATAAAAGGTTTTTGTTAGAAGAAAACAATTATTATATAATATTGCTTTTAAAGTATTATTATGTAAATAAAATGTCTTTTGTGTGTTTCATAAACAAAATAGAAATGAACATTATTGTAACATAGTTTATTATGCTGATCCTGATAAAATCAGTGATATTTTACAAATTTACCATGCCTCGTATCAGAATCTAATGTAAGGAACTAATATCTTGGGGATTAGCTGTGTTTTTAACATACATGATATTTTTTTCAGGTGCTTGTAGAAATTGGTAGCTTTGTAGGACATAGATTAATACAGGAAGCTAAAGAATTTATCTTAAATGTAAGAGCTTTGTTATTACACTTATGTTATTTACAGTGCAATTGACTTAGAAATAGATAAAAATATTTGAATCGTGCATTAATTAGCATAATCACTGATAATCTGATATTGATAAGCCTGTCAAATATGTACCTATACCTCTTTTACAATTTTCTGTCATAGTTAAAAGCAGTATTTAAATATCTAGTTTATTAGTAAACTATTAACAATAGGTTCCTCTGCAGTGTAAAGAAAACAGGAGTAAATAAGCTGATGTATTGCATTATAACCTAAGGATAATATACATTTATTTCAGAAAATAATGTGATGTTTTTTATGCCCCCGCCGTAATGTTGCCATTGTCCTTCCGTACGTATGTATGTCCCAAAATTGTTTTCCGTTCTCTAACTTTAGATTGCCTCCACCAAATGTTATGACACTTATACACAATGCTTATAACCATAAAACACAGATCAAGTTCGAATTTGGGTGGTATCACTTGTACGGTTCTCTAGTTATGTCCCTTTATAATGTAATGTGCCATCTGGGGCATCATCTGTGTCCTATGGCCACATTCTCCATTTATTTTATAAACAGCAACAACAAAATATGACCTGATGAACATTGCAATAATTAAAACACATTTTAATTTTTGCTTATAATATTGCACCATATGGATCACATGCATTCCATTGATTTAATCACTCATTATTGTTTTTTGTTGGAGATTTCCTTTGATAATGGCATGCATTAAATTTTGAATTTACAGTATGCACTTCAATATGTGGGGGCCATACCATTTATACACATTTCAATGTGTTTTGTTGCAATGGATTGGTATTCTTTTAAGTGAAACAAACAGACGTATATATTGTAGATATATAAATGTATGTGTAAGCCAACAGGTCCTCTGATTCAAATTTGAAGTAATTTCTACATTTCAAGGGCATCACTTATGCTTTTATGTAGAAAAATCCTGACAACGAATTAACAAATTTTGAACAGAGATTATATAATGATTGTTTAACCTTTGACCTAAATGTTTCTTTTACATATAGATTTCCGATGAAGAAGAAACAGATAAAAAAGCCTCAGTGTTTGCACCTGTAAGTTTTTCATACTGACTACATATAACACCTCAATATTTATATAGGGGTAAGAAAGTTTTCTATAAAAAATTGCTCAGTGTTAAGATGTAAATAAATGTATACACAGCAGTGGTGGATCCAGAAAGGGGGGGGGGATGTTCTGAGGATTGGAACCCCCCTATTTTTTTGACGATCAATGTTTTTGAATGGGGACATATGGTTGGAACCCCCCTTTTATCCTGGGTTGGAAACTCCCCTTTTAAAAATGGCTGGATGCGCCCCTGCACAGATATATCAGTAAAATATAACATGATTTATTTTTATCAACTGTGAACCAAGGGATTTTCTAGAAATAAACATATAGTTTCTAGAAGGTATATCAAGTAATTTGATCAATGATGATTGTTTTTTAATTTGAGCTTTAGAAAATTAAAAAAAATATTTGTTTGTAAATATATGTTGACATATTGATTGTAAACAGTAATGAAAAAAATAATGCAAGAAAAAATTCATTGAAGAAAGTACAAGTTATGTGCATTTGAAATTTATGATCATATAGGTGAAGGGAAAAAACTGTCTTTTTAAATACACAATCAGTTTGGAAAATAACTTTGTGGAAATTGATGTAGAGAACAGTGTTTAATTGATACAATATTTATTTTTTAGTGTCCACATGACATGCCATGTCCAAAATTCAAACTAGCACACAAAGTTCCCTGCTATTTTGTTGCAGACTATAAACCTCTAGAGAAAGTTGCTGTAAGTTTACTGATGTGGTAAAAAGTTAAGAAAATGTAAAACAAATGAAGAATTAATGATTGTATGCATTCGTTATTATCAACTTCTCAATTTATTGTTCCTTAACTATAAAAGTTACAAATAAGATTATAGAATTATTAATAACAGCCTCAGTTCATTCAAAATGCCAAATACACATGTAAAATATCACCAAAAAAAAAAGAAAAAAACCAGGCAAAAGCAACACAAACCCCACTAAAAGTCAATTGTGCTCCAAATGTACAGCATTTATCAATATTAAAATTTGGAGTTTGGATGAACTATTAAATTCTCAGAAATCGGTATCATGTGAATAAATGACTTTCACAGCGGAATGATAACTTGTACATTTTGTTTAATTCTAATGTTGTTTATTCATTCTTTTTTTCTTCAGAAAAAGGTAGATAAAACTAGTGAAAGATATACCTTTGTGATATTAAAAAAGACCAAGGAACAAGTAGAAAGTAAGTATTCTATTGCAATTTATATTATCCCTGATGATTGAAGGTGACACAGGTAGAATAATGGACATTTTCCATAAATTTTGTTTTATTTAATTATGTAATTCACAATATTAAATATTGTCATTTTACAAATTTCAATTTAATTTTATATATATATGTATGTAAAATTCATATGATACTTCAGTTTTACACTTATGAATAGTAGTTGAACTTCCCTTAACACTCAAGTAAATAGTATTAAACGTAATTTACATCCATTGAAAATTTTACAATATGAAAACATAAAACATAAGCAAGGTCTATTTTGAGTATTTGAGGCAGACAATTCTAGTTGATTAAAGAAATCTAAAGATATAACAACTGCAGGGGTCTCATTTTTAGGACTCAACAGAGTTTTATGTTTTGCTTGGGTTAAAAGTATTGAAATTGATTTTTGGACACTAGTAAATTAATTTCAGTCTTAAACCGTAGTTTTGGTCTTAGGATCATCTTGAAAGTCTGAACAATAAATAAAGCCATGTTCAGTCTTTCAGTAAATTTTCAAATTTCTCCACTGTGTTTAATTAAGTACTGCATGAACAATTCCCTTGCAATCTATTCAGTACAGTTCAGTAGCTTTTCAGACAATTCAGTTTGTTGTTGATGTGTATCAGTAGATACCAGCTACTAAAAAGTCTGAACATATCTTTATTGACTGCAAGCGAATTGTCTGTACAGTACTGAATTTACTGCAGTGGATAAGTCTGAAAATCAAAGGAAAGACTGAAAGTGTCTTTTAAAGGAGTAGGTCCGGTATATATGGGCCGATTTTGGCCTCAAAATTCAGGTTCATCTGATTAAAGATTTTGGACACTTTTTAAACACTTAGGTGTCTACTTCAGTCGATTCAATTAGTTTATGTGAAAGATTTGAACTGATTTGGTCATTAAAGACGCTCAAATTCAAGCTTAAATTTGAAAAATCTATCAAATATGCCATAATATGTCACTTTTCAGGTGGTTTTTGTCAAAAATGAAAGTGGCCGCATCCGTGTTCATTCTCAACCTTTATATATGTTATGTATTATCATCAAATACAACTTACATTTAAATATTAAGAATGAACACAAATGCGGCCACTTTCATTTCAGACGGAAACCGTGGAAAAATTAACCAAAATGCTAAAATTTCGAAGATTTCAGTAATTTAGCATGACTTAATGATGCTAGTACCCGATACATGTGCATTGTATTGTCAAAAACAGCCCATATATATGTAACAGAAGTATTCTTCATTCCGATAAATAGCTTAAAATTTACATTTTAACAATTTTGTAAAACTGCTATATTTTGGGGCCAAAAAGGGGTCTTACTGGGCCTACTCCTTTATTGTTGTTCTGATCAATAAATTATGAAGTCACTTTAGATCAAAATGACCGTTTAAGATCAAAATAAGTTAACTAGTGAGAGAATAATTATAGAAATTTAGTGGTACATTAAAATTGTATAGATCTACACAGGACAATTAATGCGAAAAAATAACCAATATGTCGAAGAACACTTCTATTGTCTTTTCAATCTTATCAGTCAATACGATTTTGTACTTATTTCCCTTTTAATAGAAATATAGAAATAGGGAGATGTGGTATGATTACCAATGAGACAACTATCCACCAAAGTTCAAATGAAGTGGATGTAAGCAATTATAGGCAACAGTATGGCCTTCAACAATGAGAAAAACCATATAGTTGGCTATAAAAGACTCGACTTGAAAATTATGAAATAATTCAATTGAGAAAACTAACAGCCTAAATTATAACAAAACAAATATGACAGACGTGAAACAGCAACAAACACTGAACTACAGGCTCATGATGTTGGATAGGCACATAAAGAATGTGGTGGGGTTAAACATGTTTGAAAGTTCTCATTAAAATGTGGATGAAAATTTGTAGTAATATGGCATTGCTGACAGTTGTTTGTTTACTACATGTATATCACGAAAAAATCATTTAAAACCTAATTGTTAATATTGAAAAATATTGTGTTTTTGGTAAAATTGTTAATTGTTATAAAATTAAAAAAAAAGATGAACAAATTGTGTTATACATGTATTATAATACATGAAACGGATAACAGGAACTATCAAAAATATCAAACAGCATTTCTTAGAGATTTCGTAATAGAGAAAATAAATGTACAAAGAAAGACATACAACAAATATGTAAATTTGTATAAGATGCAGATTTAAAAAAAATGTTTTTAATTTGAAATAAAAAATGATTGCTTAGATATTATATTGACATCATTCATTTATTTGCAGGTGTACGATGGCCTCGTCTTGTTGCTAATTCGACCTTTGCCAATAAACATATACACTGTAGAATTTGTTGCCCAACAGGACAGTTGGATCATATAATAATTACAAAGAAAAAGCACTCAAAGTATGTATAGAACTCTGTTAGAAATTCGTTCTATATAAGAAATAGATTAGATTTTAAAGATTCAGAGTTAAGGAAACTTTTTAAATTGCCTATTAAGGGAGAAAGGTGTGATAAGTATATATTAACCGAGTCACATTTTTGCGCCTGTCCCAAGTCGGGAACCTCTAGCCTTTGTTAGTCATGTGTGGTTTTTATACGACGGCAAAAAAATTTGCGGTCGTATATTGGTATCACGTCGTCGTCGTCGTCAGAGTCATCCGAAGACATTTGGTTTCCGGACAATAACTTTAGTAAATGTAAATAGAAATCTATGAAATTTAAACACAAGGTTTATAACCACAAAAGGAAGGTTGGGATTGATTTTGGGGGTTATAGTCCTAACAGTTTAGGAATTAGGGGCCAAAAAGGGTCCCAAATAAGCATTTTTCTGGTTTCCAGACAATAGTGGAACGGTGTATGGATCTCTCTGAAGTTATACCACAAGTTTCCATCCCACAAAGGGATGGTTAGGATTGGCTTTGGGGGGTTATGGCTCAAACCGTTTAGGAATTAGGGGCAAAAAAGGGGGAAAAACAAGGGTTTCCTGGTTAATGGACAATTAAAAAAAGTACAATGTTAAGTTTGGATTACCTCCCTTACAATGCTTTTAAATTATGTATAAAAAAATGTTGTATTGTCTTGAGGTGATTAGCTGTCAATTTATTTTTAGAAGCTACTATTTAAAAATGCTGATTAAGGAATATTTAATATATTAATTTTAGCCATGATTATGTATGTCATTTTCTATTTTAAGACTTTTATGATGTATTTAGATGGGTAATTATGGTTGCAAACTCCATTGGAAATTTGAATTGAGATTATGACCATATCTTGAGGGAAAGATTTTTTTTGGGGGAAAGAGGGGGGGGAGTAAAAAAGAAATTGTGAGGGGGGGACAATTTTTTCTCATTTCAGAAATTAAAATTTAATTTCTTCAAATTTTTTTTTTTTTTTGAAAAAAAAAGTGGGGGTGGGGGTAAAAAATAGTTTTTTGTTTTTTTTTTGGGGGGGGGGGGGGTCAATTCGCAACAGCATAGTGTATTGCACAAAAGCAAAAAAAAAGGGGGGTAAATTTTTTTTTGGGGTGGGGGGGGTCAATTCGCAACAACATAGTGTATTGCACAAAAGCAAAAAGAAAGGGGGGTAATTTTTTTTTTTTTGGGGGGGGGGGTCAATTCGCAACAGCATAGTGTATTGAATAAAAGCAAAAAATTGAATATAAATTCAAATCATATAACCAATTCTAAGGTCTTTGACTACAGTTATTCTGTGTCAGAAAAATATTATGTGTCAAATATTTAATTACAATTCAAATTCAGACCTGTATCAAGCGTGAATATTGTGTCCATTTTTGCCCCAACTGTTCAGGGTTGGACCTCTGCGGTCGTATCCAGCTGCGCTCGGCGAAGCAATATATTTTAACTTTGGTTCATTTGTTCTGAATTTAGTGTGGCATCCATTTTGCTGCCCTAGTATACATTGTTGTTTAGGGGCAAGCTGAAGCCCCCCTCTGGGTGCAGGATTTTCTCGCTGTGTGGAAGACCCTCTGGTGGCCTTGGGCTGTTTTCTGCACTTTGGTCAGGTTGTTGTCTCTTTGACACGTTCCACGTTTCCATTCTCTATTCTATTAAGGTGGAAATCAATGAGACAGATCAATTTTCAGCCAATGTAATTTACATACCTTTATAGGAAAAAATAAAAAGGTGTTTAGTCTTATATTACCAGCCTGAACCAAATTACAAATGTGTTAATACAAAGTAATGAAAATAATAAGGATATATACGTGTTATGCTATTGTAGACATTTTCCATCATAACACTTCATAACTTATGAATAATAGCTTGTTATATGTTGAAAAGGCTAAAAAAACAAATCATTTTAATTGATACTTTCAGGGAATTATATGCCTGTGTGAAGAATTCAAAGTTAGGAGATTGTCTGCCTGTGATATATACAAATGAATCAACTAAAAAGCATCAAAAATTGATTAAATACAAACAATTACTGTCAGAAGGGAATGAGAATGAATTAGGAAACATAAGAGATTCAAAACCACAGGGAGGGGACCCAGAAACTGTATCATCAGGAGAACAGGATGAAGAAATCATTGGCTCTAGTGAAGTGACTGAATCAGTTGGAGATATGGAAGGCCATGAAAGTGATTCTGAATTAGAGGAACATAGCTATAGTGATACTGGAAATTTTTCTGCAAAACCAGACAACATTTTAACTTGATTAAAATACACAAAATGCAAATTAAAAAATACTTAATTGTCTATTTTCATATTGCAAGTTGAAAAAGGAAATGGGGTACATGTTTCCAACGAGTTAAAGTAACAATACATATCAAGGAACCAATATTTTGCTGATCTGGTCTTCATCTGAATATAACCCACCTTGGAAGGTGAAGGGTGTTCTGGTTTACATTTGTCTGGTCCCTTTTTATACGCCCGTTTACGGGAGGTATTATGGTATACCGTTGTCCGTCTGTTCATCCGTCCGTCTGTCCGTCCGTCTGTCAGTCCGTCTGTCCGTCGTCAACATGTCGGCATTAACTCAAAAATGCTGTAACCAATTTGCATAAAACTTTGGTGAATTGTTTGTATCTATTGACGTGAGCTCCCTTTCGTTTTATATAAAATTTAGATTTTACGTTTCCGAGTTATGGGGTTTTATTCATTAAAAAAGGGGGATTTTCCAGTTTTCAGGCAATAAGTCAAGAATGCTTTCACCAACTTGCAAGAAATTGTGGTGAATTGTTTATATCTATTGACATGAGCTCCCTTTCAATTTTTATAAATTTTAGATTTTACGTTTCCGAGTTACTGGGTTTTATTCATAAAAAAGGGGGGATTTTCCAGTTTTCGGACAAAAACTCAAAAATGCTTTCAGCAATTCTTATGAAACTTTGGTGAATTGTTTGTATGTATTGATGTAAGCTCCCTTCAGAATTTTATAAATTTTACATTTTACGTTTCTGAGTTATGGGGTTTTATTCATTAAAAAAAGGGGTGATTTTCCAGTTTTCGGACAATAACTCAAAAATGCTGTCACCAATTCTCATAAAACTTTGGTGAATTGTTTATATCTATTGATGTAAGCTCTCTTTTTATTTTCATAAATTTCTAATATGACATTGAGAATTAATTGAACTTTATTTGTTTATAGTCTGACAACAGATTTACCAAGTATTGCACAACAGCAAGAAATCTTTAATTGAATATACATTCAATTCATATAACCAATTTCAAGATCTTTGACTACATTTATTCAGAAACCTATAATATGTCAATTATTTAATTACAATCCAAATTCAGACCTGAATCAAGCTTGAATATTGTGTCCATTTTTGCCCTAACTGTTCAGGGTTGGACCTCTGCGGGCGTATCTAGCTGCGCTCAGCGAAGCAGTTTATTATATCTGTTTTTCCATCCATCACTCAAAATTGTTGTTGCATTTTTTTTTTAAACTACAAATCAGAGCTTGCTGAAATTTGATATTAACCTTTTAGTGAGCATGGTATACTGTTTGATGCATTTTCCTATTTATTGGTCATCAACTACAGAATACTTAATATATACTCTTACACATAATCTCTATTTATGAAATATCTGTCACATTTTTCTCAATTACTACAAATCAAGGCTTTCTAAAATTTCAAATGAAGCTTTATGTCAGCATGCTATACTACATTGTATATGACACTTTTTGGCATCCATTACTCACCAACTTCCTGTTTACCAAGTATGTGTAGCTAGTAGTGGGGCATCATTAGTGAACAATACCTAATAGTTCAGCTTGTATTACAGGGGTAAATTCAGTAAAAAAATCTCCCATTGACTTTATGCAAATATATGTCTTGAATTAAATTCAGACACAATTTACCTTTTGAAATCAGAAACTTTCATATACCATTTTTATTAAAGTACAAATGTAGCCCCATCTTTTTCAACAATAAAAATATGGGGTCATGCAGCATTTTTGGGCATTCACATGGCCTTGTTTACAAAAACTGTAGATTCGCATTAAATTCCTATACTGACCCCATTACTTTTCAAGCCTGTAGTAAAAAAATTAAGTGCATTCAGCATTCATTTTTTTAATTTTTTTTTAACTCTAGTTGTGATCAATCTATTAAAAAAAATATTTATTACAAACATTGTCTACCAATTAGACGAGCACAGGACTTCAGTGTTATACAGAAAGCTCTCCCCCAAATGGGCGGTCCCTGATGACGTACATTTATTTACTGAATTTACCCCTACAAGGTTGTTGGTAATCAAATGCCACTCTTTTTACAACTTCTATTTTATAGCATATGTTTGAGCCATAACTTTTCATATCACGTGATGACAGCTACAGTACTTTTATTAATCAAACCAATGGTGTTACAAATTGAACTAAGAAATCATTCAATGCTTTAACATTTTGAAAACAGTTACTAAAATTATAAAACATGAATCCTATCTTTACAGGGGTCCTCTGTAATCGAATGGTCTAAGTAGTCGAACTACTGTATCACTAGCCTGTCAACACTGAGGTTGTGAGTTCAAATCCAGCACGTGGCAGATGCGTTTGACTCCAATCTTAAGGTAGATTTATGGTATACCGCCATCTTGGATTGTACAAACACAGTACAAAATCGGTCTAGTTATTTGCCCAAATCTGCAAATTTGGAGACAGATTTGCAATTTAATGGTTAGACTGTTTATTTATATTAAGAAAACTTGGTAATTTATTGTATTATTCAAAATTTTTAAACAAATATCAAGTTTTGTGTTTTTAGAATCATTTTTTCAAATAAGCCATTTAAGGGGAAATAACTCTCTTAGTAAAAAAATTATACTGGACTGATAGGGAAATTTAAAATTTTTATTTTTAGCAAGAAAACAAGTTCGGTGACACCATTTTTTCTTTTTATTTTCTTAAATCGTATTATGAAACCTATCTTCTCACAATTTATTTCAAAATTCTATCTCATAGAATTTTTTTTATGCACACAAATGTGTTTTTTCATTAACAATCTAACCAAATTTGGCCAATTTGCACGACTTGTAGTTTGGAAAATAGCACGGTGACCCATACTCTTTATTATATTTTTGAAAAAAGCATATTAAAATCTTCATTTTGGCAAAGTATAAGAAAATTCCATCTAAAAAAATATATACTTATGATCTACCTTAATTGACTAGTATTGTCAGTTTTCCTACTGAAGGTCAGTGGTTCTCTCTGGCTTACTCATCCAAAAATTATATCTATGAAAAGATTTTTTAAATTATTTTTGATAAAGGTCTTATCCCAAACAGTTGGGTCATTGATGTGATTAAACCGGTATACAAAATAAAGGGGACTGCAAAGATCAAAAGAAGTATAGACCAATCACAATCGTAAGCTGTCTTAGAAAATTGTTTACTGCTATATATACTGAACAGGCTAAATACATTATCCAAAGATTTTCAAATTATTAACGAGAATCAAGGAGGATTTAGACAAAAATTCTGCACTATGGATAATGTTCTTACCTTTTACTTACTTGTTGAAACATTAAAGTGTAAAAAAGCGGAAATTATTCTGTGCATTCATTGGATTTTGAGAAAGCTTTCAATACCATGGATACAGTATGGAGAAATTGGTTATTTTACAAAATGCTGTTAAACCATATTAACAGGAAATGTATACTGTCATTTCAAATATGTACAGTAATATCAAGTCTTCTGTCTCATACAATAACTGCACATCAGAATACTTCGCATGTGCAAATGGTGTAAGGCAAGGTGAAAATTTATCTCCCATTTTGTTCTAATTATTTTTTAAATGATTTAGAAGACTTTATCCAGTAAAAATATGTCTGGGCTAAAAATAATTTCTGAAGACCTAGAAAATGAGCTAGGCATTTACTTGAAAATTTTAGTAATATTGTATGCAGATGATACAGACTTGATGGCAGAAAATCCACATGACTTGCAAGTTGCACTTCATGCTTTCCACGAGTATTCCAAGTGGTGAAGTTGAAATCATCCCTTCATAAATTTTATGGACACCATCACAGATGATAGCGGATATGTTCTTATGTCGTAACTACAATCCTGTCCCCTTTTCTCAAATGTGACCTACCAAACAAGACTTATTACCGGGTTTGTACTAAAATGAGCAACACGACAGGTACCACATGTGGAGCAAGATCTGCTTAGCCTTCCAAGGCTCCTGAGATCATCCCCAGTTTTTGGTGGGGTTCGTGTTGCTCAGTCTTTAGTTTTCTATATTGTGTTTTGAGTAGCGGTACATATATATTTATTCAAGATAAAAGGCATGAATTTGACAGATACAATATATATTACAATGACACAGATATAGCACTAGACATAGTTTATAGACACTAAAATGATTTACATGTTTACTAAAAATTTTAATTTAAAAAATAAAATTATGAAAATTGTCATGATATTTTGATAATATAAATAGACTAGATTAAATAATGAGTGAAATTTAAATTGACTAGATTTTCACTGTAACCTAATACCATAGGATGACGCACAAAAGTTATTAAAACTTATTTCGAGTGGGGTCCTTTTATGATGAGACTTACAGTTCACACCAAAGGTTGACACATAGAAATACAAACACAAATCATTTAGAATTTATCACAGATAAATGGTCAATGCCCCAGTATAATTAATAAAAAACAAATTCACTATTAAAGATGGATTTAAATTTATCCATCAAAAACTTTTTCACTTGTACTTTAAAATTATATTTTTAAGAGCAACTTTTAATCATGTCTGGTAATGAATTCCAGCCTTTTATTCCATTATAACAGAAAGTGGTGAATTCACACCCTTTAATTCCTGGTATATAAAAGTTTTTATACGACCGCAAAAAAATTTTGTGGTCGTATATTGGTATGACGTTGGCGTCGTCGTCGTCGTCGTCGTCGTCGTCGTCCGGCGTCGTCGTCGTCGTCCGGCGTCGTCGTCCGAATACATATTGGTTTTCGCACTCTAACTTTAGTTTAAGTGAATGGATCTTTTTGAAATTTGACCATAAGGTTAAATACCACAAAAGGAAGGTTGGGATTGATTTTGGGGGTTATGGTACCAACAGTTAAGGAATTAGGGGCCAAAAAGGGGCCAAAAATGAGCATTTTCTAGTTTCCAGACAATAACTGTGGAACGGTGTATGGATCTCTCTGAAATTATACTACAAGTTTCCATACCACAAAGGGATGGTTAGGATTTGCTTTGGGGGGTTATGGCTCAAACCGTTT